GTTGAAGCACGTGTTGGGTCCACGTCTCGGTGCATCCACCCCGTTGATTGTGGGCTGGCGCGGCGGTCCACGAAATTGAGTGCCCTCATGGGAACTCATTCTCGCCCATTGCATCAGCGCATCCGTTGATTCAGCCACCTGGACGGCATCAAGGAAATCGCATGGCCTCGCTCGTCGCACCTCGTACTGTACTTCATACTTGAGGCCTGCGACGTATCGGTCGAGTCGCTCCGCATCACTCATGTCGTCCATCTGGTCGGCCAAATTGCAGAATGTTGCCGTGTAATCTTGGACCGACGCCACCTGCTTCCAGGTGCGCAGCTTCATGCGAGCAGAATCCGAGGCGGATACATGCTCGAATCTGGCTCGCAGCGCGGCGCCCCACTCCGTCCATGTGCGTATCATGGCCACTCCGAAGATTGAAGTTGCTCGTTGCGTGACAGTTGTCCAGGTCCCGTCGTTCGCACGTGGCATCCCTGCTGGAGTCCCCTCTGTCTGAAGAGTCCGCTTCCACCACTCCAACGCCGGCCCTCGTAACAGTGACACTGCAAAATTAATGCGAGTAGCATCGTCAGCAATTTGCGCAGCATTGAAAAACACCTCCACGCCAAACAACCATGCTGACACAGTGACGGTTTTGTCGCTGGGGTTGAACGGGGGCGGGTTCGTCGGTTTTAACTTAACAGTTTTTGAGACTGTTGCTGCTGCATGCATCGGGGGCGCCACCGAAGCCATCACCGGGGTTGTCGCTGTTGCCTGTCATGGCGTAGTCTGCGACTGTTGCCTCGGTGCCGCTTGTGCCTGTTGCTGCGGCTGTGGCTGTTGCTCTTGCGTCCCTTGTGCTTGTTGCATCCGTGCCGCCCACTCATCTTCAGCGTCCAGCGAGTCCTGTAGCTCGCTAAGGACCTCGTCGTTAGGCGCGAAGCTACCTACTTGCTTCATCTACGGCGGGCGACTCCCGACGCGCTTCACCTCGCGTCTGGCGTAGCTCGGCGTTTTCCACCCTCAGGCGATCCATCTCTGCAGAAATGGTCTGCAAGTTGGCTTGCATCGCCCGAAACTGTTGCATGAACTCGTTGAACTCCACCTGTTCCATGTTTCGCAGGCTTCTCCTAACGGGCAGTGGGTTAACAACGATTTTTATGGTTTTGATGAAGGCGCAACGCTATTAGTTGGAGCGAGATAATCATATCTATCTCTCAGCTGACCGCTTTGCAGCCCACCAAACCTATCTCACCCTTGCACTAAACTACCCCGGAAAGTGGAGGGTAACCTAGGAAAGTAGCTCTGATACCAAGTGTTATGAGTTGTACGAAAGAAGAAGTGCGCAGCGTTCAATAATGCGGAAGTGATTACAACTACTGAGCAAACAACGAGGCCTAGGCATAATATAGCAAAGCTAGCTAGGCCGAGGTCGCGGAGTCGCGAGAAGGTTGGGTGCAGGTTTGGGGTTGGGAAACCCGAAGGTGACGCGGAGGACGTTCGGAAGGCGAGGTCGACGGACCGAGCCCTGAACTCCGAAAATTGGAAATGTACGCGTACGGAGTGCCTTAGTAAGGAATTAGCAAAATTCCTTACACCTGCAATGCACCACGTGACTTCAAAAACGCGAGCAGACTTGCCAGGATTCAGAAGCACTACTTACGTGACTGTAATTCGGGTTTCCTAATCACACAGAGTTCCATTCTGAAGACTCCGCCAGTTCCCGACGCGTCTTTTCCACCGCGCCGCAATCTACGGGCTATTATGGAAACGCCATGCCTTTTTGATCGGCTTCGTGCTTCGTCGCACGATGGCGCGAGCACTCATTTCTCGCCTACACAGCCTCACGTCTCTTCGCGAACATCTCGGACGCCAGCATTAGCTATCATATTTTCGAACGGTTCGCCATCCACCGATTCGTCGCGCGCAGCAGACTCGCCAGATACGCCTTCCCGCCGCCAATGCGGATGCGTCTAGTAACGCGGAGGCATGTAACGAGGACGACGATATGAGCGGGTACGGCGTGTCGTCGTCGGAGGATCTGCGCAACGCGAAGGCGTGTCGCGCACGGGATAACAAAACAGGTGGTGCGCCAAGGGGATGAGCCGCGGGGAATATAGGCGGGGGACGACGCCAGGTTGAATGGGGGGGGTGGGGGGGAACACGCCATCGCGGAAAAGGCTTTGGCCCAAATTCGAGTTTAAGGCCGGAAGCTGCAGGAAAGTTGCCGGAAAGTTGCAGAAAAGTATGCGGAAAAAGCGACATAAAAATGCAACTCGAGCACGGATGTGCAAGGGAGCCGAACCCCGAGTCGCGCTTGCCAGTGAAGTACACCACGCGAGTTGGGTGTCCGAAAATGACATTGCCGAAATGGAAATGTGGACATTTGAGATGCGGCTCGTAAAAAAACGTGCACTCAAGCCACGGTTATGGTGTCACCCGTTACACTGCAGTGGGCATTGACTACACCAAACACACAGTTCCGAAGCACTAGTTCTACGCTCAATGCACCTAAGTCCCACAACATATTCAGATGTGTAGCTGGACACGTGACGGTTTAGGCAAGGGGCTTGCGCCAATAAACACAAGCCGCACAACCATTGTTAATAGCCACTGATACACAAAGCAAGCACCCCAACATGCTGCCTAACAATGCAACCCCAGACACACACTAGGCGCGATGTCCCAAACCCCGATTCCCACTAACCACACACCCATTGAAAACAATGCAGAATATCCACCTAAACACGCACTACACGACTCGAACAACACTCTCTTTGTCGTCGTCCCAGTGGAAAACAATACGCCAGCCCTCTGTGCTCATGGCTCACCTCCGACCCGTCCGAGGTTATTCCCTCATCGCTTGTACTGCCTGCACGTGTGCGCTTAGGTGGTGTGCGGCGAAGGCGGCTCACCACCTCTTCATTGACAACGTCCGACCTCCTCCGGAACGTCGCGCGGATGGATTCCCAAGACCTCCGCCTGTTTAACGAAGCCGCCGTGCACCATGCGCACCACGCGGCGGCAGATAGCGGCTGTCTCGCATGAGGGGCCCCTCTGGGATGCAGAAGTATGCCGGTATCTCCTCCTCAGAATCGGTGTCCTCACCCCCCGCAGGCTTCCACTTCTCGATGAGGTCTCGTCGCATCCCACAAAATCCCATGCTGTCATGTAGAGTCCGCTGCTTGCACGTTGCTCTAAACTCCTCGATGACCAGCTGCAGCGTGTCAACTCCACCACCATGCAGTCGAACAACGCAGCCGCCGCCCTCCCTTTCAGTCGATCCATACGCCCATCCATCCATCCATTCGGCACACAACCGGCCCGCCACCAGCTCCGCTGAATCGAGCCTGGCATGGTCAATCTGCCCGCCATGAACAGCTTGTTACAGGACATCGTAAAGCGGAGGGCGCTGAAACACCCCCCTTGTTTATCCACTCGGGGCTCTCGACCGCGCCGCGCAGGAACCCACGTGCGGAACACAGCCTTCAACGTGTCGACCACACCAGGTGAACGCCGAAAAAGGCGCACGCCGGCCACCACACCTAACGTCTGCACCACCCGCACCCTTGTTAGCTCTTCCACGACGAACCCCTCCACAAACGCTGGTCTTTTCCCACACACGATGAGTGGACATGTTTAGGGTTGTGAACGAGCCCACTGCCTTGTCGTTTAGCGCGTGCATCTCACCGTTGAACTCATCGACGAACTCCGGTGAACAACTGCGCACATCATGAAATTACAGTGCGTGCATGAACATGACCCATGTCAATGGCATACAGTTGATTGCGCCACCAAGTATGCGTGCAGCTATTTGCCTGGCACTGATGTTACAACACTCACCTCGCCCGACATGCGCCCCATGCTTTGCGTAACGGACTGTACGGCATGATTCTTCCTTTCCCCCCTCGTGTATGGCCCTCTTGTCATCCCGTCGGAAAACCACGAGTGGCGGCTTGCGGACACATCCTGTCGCGTTGTAAAAAAAGCATACAGGAAGGTGCCACTCGCGCGACAGCCGCTCATACGGTCGTCCTGCGACGCGGCCAACGGGACCCTTGTTGGGATAAGAGGGAACTCGGTAAAGGTGAACACTTTCTCGGGCGGGGCATTGAGCGTCTCCAGCAGCGTTACAAGAGATGCCATGTCGAGAGTATGCAGACACTGTGACACGCAACAATCCATACCCTCCACCCTTTAACACCCTCTAGTGCCAAACACGCAGCGGATGTGACCTCCTCTTGTGCCCACCAATGCGCCACCTCAGCGTCCCATCGGAAACCCGTACCCTGGATGCAATCGCCACACCAACCTACACCGACAGTATCCACCAATAGTGGGAAACTGCTGACCAATGGGTGCAATACCTTTAGGATTGCATCCACTCCTCAACCGAACACTTCCTCCAACCACCTGATCTCGAACCCGCAATGTACCTGCGCCTCAGAACACAACATTCGGTCCCCTGGCGGTAAACGCAGCTCGAGGAATGTCAACCATCAGGAGATCGCGATACAGCATGCTCCACAAGTATGCGAAACCATCAATAACAATTCCCCGCAAATCCACTCTCACTAACGTAAAGGCACACAATTAAATTATCAGAACCCCCGCCCCCCAGAGTCTCCAATACAGTATACTCAGGGTCAAAAGCGTGCGCATTCCATGGCAAGTCACTCATGCCTCGCAGAGCCAAGGTATCGACTGTGCTCATATGTCACCTGTGAGTTTAGTATACAACCTAGGCAACCAGTACTTGTCTGTGACATGGCCAACCCACACATACATCCACAGCCTATATTGTTTCCACTTCTTGATATCCACATCTGCCCTCCCACATCCCTCACACTCATCCCTCAGTGGCTCTTCAACCGCCAGCCCACATTTCACTCGCACAACAAGAACTTGTTGAGTAGCAACACCAGTGGGTTGCTAAAAGAGCGGCAGATGTGCACTATCCGCTCGATGCTCTCCAGTGCAACCACCGCATGCCTGATCTCCTTCCGGGACGGTGTGAGCTACACGCAGGTGGTGAGTGGGCATACCCCCACCTGTTCATACCACCGCATGTACACAAACCCCCTCCGTTCCCCGTCAGCCGTGGCCGCCTTGAAAATACAGAGCGCCTTGGCGTACCACTCTTCCTTCTTCTTGTTCGACTTCACAGCAATGTCCGTGAACCATTTCTCCTTGGGGCTTGCCTTGATGAACGCGCCCTTGGAGACCAGTGCCCCACCCTTCGTGCGTGGAATCGCCACAGCCGTGTGGGCCTGCAGTAGTGGGGCAAGGGAAGACGAGGGCTCGCGTTTGATCAGTAGGGTTCGGCAAAAAGCAACCGTCCCCCGCATTACACGACATCGCGGGCCCCCCACACATGCGGTGGCCCCGGGCTGCACATCACGCACCACAATCTCTGATGCCGTGATGTTCGCAGCCACCATGCACCCTGGCAGCGAGTCCATGAGATCTCCCAGCGCGGTACGGTAGGTGGCCATCACAGCGTCGCCCTCCACCTCTGGCCGCATCGTGCGGCCCTTCCTCGTTAGCACGGGCTTCATGGTCTCAACCGCCTGCCGTGGTGGGCAGGCAACCGTATACCACGACTACGATTGAGAAAATCACCAAGAGTAGGACGGGTCAGGTCGGGGCATGTTAACGTCGAAGAACAGCAACACTTTCCCCCCACACACTGGCTCACCTCCCTCAGAGCGGTCGCATACTGACGCCCACCACCCGCGTCTTGTGCCACCTCCCTGCAGATCTCTCTCTGCACCTCCTCCTCGACGATCCGCCGGGGGATGTCCTTCCAGTTGCTGCCCCTGACCGGTATCTTGATTGTCCCCTTGTGGGTATGCCCACATCTCCGTGCTGTAGTGGTGCGGCATCCCGCGCATGATCGCATTGTCCAGCAAGTGGACAATCATGTGAATCTTGGGAAATCGCCAATGCGAGGCGTGGTCCGGATAGGCCTGCGGCAAAATCTCCACCAGCATGCAGAACACCACATCGCAAGTGGAATCTGGTGACTCTGTGCATGCCATGACCAGAGACTGCAACGACAGCCTAGCGATGCATTCAAGGCCGCCCACAACCCCCACACCGTCACCCGCCATCCGACATACTTGATTGCATGGGCACGGGCGATTGCGAGAGAGGCCTCCGTGTGTCAGCTGACCCCCAGAAATGCCTTGTAGAACGTGGCATACACCCTGAAAGCCCGCACGCGGAGCGCGCTGTAGCGCTGACTTGTCGACCACTAGGATGGGCATCACCTGCATCATGCTGCGGTGTTCGAAGGCTGCATAGTTTGCACCACTCAAGAAGTAGGAGCTGCCTCCAGGCAGGCGCAAAAGTACATTCGGTGTCTCTCCTTTGGTTGTCTTCTTGCGCCTGTTGGGTTAGTGTGCCCGGGGATAGGCACAGAGACGAGGGTGAGTAAAGAACCGTTCACCAAGACACCGCCAATGCATTCACCATACAGTGTTTCCATTGCATACTCTATTCAGTGAACCGGAGCTACTCACCTCTCAACATCCCGCCTCCCTGGCTTGCTGAGAACCGCGATGTTGTTCTCCAGCAGGTGCAGTGCCATCCCCGAATCCAGCACATGCATGATGTCAGCAACGCATGCACCAAACGGGTTTCCCCACGTCGTGTGCGAGAAGTTCCACCGCGACAACACGCACTGCATGGTGGGGTCGCAAG